AACTGACAAAACAGGATTACAGGCGATCACAGTACGGCCGCTTCGTAAGCGCGATTTATCTTCGTATCCCTCTGTCATTCCGAATTGATTACGTCGCCGTCGTAATTGCCGTCGTTACGTATAAGTAGCGACACACTCGGTTACGTAGTTCAAGACTATCACGTCGTCGTCCCCTCAGCTCTCCTTCTCTTCCTCCTTCCCCTCAGCCTTCTCCTCTTTCTCCTCCTACGCCGACTCGTAATTAAATGTCCGCCTCCTCTGCCTTTCATCGGCATCTTCCGTCTCGCGAATTTCGCGCGGTCAGTAACCACGAGGAGCAAGTTAGCGAGGGAAAATTCTCGCTGAGGAAACCGTGTCGGATAAATGTCCTCCTCGAAGCGGCAAGAAATCCGCCGTATAAGCTCGGTTTCGCGATTTCTTACCTCTCGAGGTCTCGCGTGAATCGGTGAAGATTTTGTAAACAGCCACGTTTCGCATGTCAGCTGTATGTCAGTGAAATGTATTCTCAGGCGCGAACGAGCCGTCGTTGTTTTGCCGTCGATTTGCTTGATTATCTTTCGCACTCGCAAAATGTGTCTCGCAAAAGGTATCTGGCAGAGGCATCTTGTTGACTTCGCTCGCTTATTCGCTCGCAACACGCGCAACGCGACTTAACATATAAACGGCGATATTCCCGTGGGCTCAGCCCAGTACATCGGGAACGCAATTGATTGCAATTACGATGAATTGTGTGTTGCGCTCTTATCGCTAGCCATCAGTTCGTCAGTCTCGGAATGACTGCGAAACAGCGGACTGGAGCATGACTGTGCGTGCGACTGGAACGGGCCAGTCCTAACTGGGTTAACGACAGGTTACGGAAGCCTCGGATGTTTTTACACGGTTAAAGAAGCGCGACTGTCGTATGCTCGCCGCAATCCGCAAATCCGATTCCTGCAAGCGGTCTCAAAATCCCGCGGCCGGCTGTACGTACGCAAGAGCGCGTCATTCAATGAAACCGAAGCCACGGTGCTCACGCACGCTGGCGAAAGGTGTATCGGGTTCCCTCCGAAAGATTCGCGTCTGTTCGTTAATAACATCCAACGCGCGTATCCGCGTCCCGATCTGATCTCGTGGCGCGCGATACAGCGCAAATTGCACTTAGTTCTGCTTGAACGCGCAACATTCTTTTTAATTTACAGTCTGCAAGGCGATCGCGAGACGAGGAAACTGCACGGGCGATTAGATTTCCACGTGTTTTCCGCATGCACGCATTATACCGGCTGGCTATAAATAGGCGTGTGTGAACGACGCTTTTTAACTAGGTGAGATTCATCTAATTTAACTTCATTGAACGGCGCTCCAATGGACGGAAGTCACAGTCTGCATTAAGCGCAATAATAAAATACGTCTGATAATATCTGCCGCCCTAATTTCGCGGGTGCTTTTTCCCTGGCCGGAATTATTCCCTGTGCCTGCAGCTGGCATGTATTTTTCACTTCCGAGAGAATCAATGGCGATGCAGATGCAGAAGGTGGCAGATCGATCGTCGCGTACGCACTGAGTTGAGCGATGAGTAATTTCTAAAATCTAAAATGTGTGATAAGAGTGATGGGTAATTTGAAGAATTTAGAGCGGCTTGTTCCAACTCCTTGGTAAGTTAGCTGATGGTTAAATCATATGTCTGTCTTCGTCTAAATTGAAGGAAAAACAAAGATAAACATATAATTTAACCATCGGTTAACTTACCAAGAAGTTGGAACAACCGGCCCGTAGAATCTCACCTGCGCAACCCAATACATATTTTCTAATCGCGTAATTTTTTATTCATTCAGTACAGATGCGTATTGGACATATCGGAAATATATATCTTTCTTCCGAGCGTTTTAACATCGAGAGGAGAACCTATTTTCTGGAGGTGGCCACTGGTATCCACGTCGACGTTCAGGAGGTTTGAAATACTACCATATGCAAATATAGCACACACACACACACACACACACACACACTCACGGTGCTTTCGGGCGAGCGACGTTTTTTCTTTCTTCTTTCTTTACGGTATCTAGATGTCCTCCGCAAGACTACCACGTTGCGTCACCGACAACAAGTCTTTGATTACGTCAATATCCAGCTTCATATCGCCGAGTCACCGAATGCCGAGCCTGGAATTTCGCGATAGACGCATCAGAGTCGAAAGTAACTCGCGACGTAAGTGTCGTACTACATATCGTTAAGTTGACGCGATATTCCTCACATCACGGGTAATTAAAAACTTTAATTATTTCCCGGAAACACGCGGATACAATACGCGAGGAGAGCCGTGCAGCAGTCGTAAAGATGTGTTTCCGCGGAACCAACGTCTTTTTTCTCAGAGTTTCCTTCCTCAGCCAGTTCCACAATTTATACATGACGGAATATTTACAAAAGTATACTCGACGATGTGGACGGCGAATTGTCATTATGAAATAATGACAATAGACAAACGCGCTGCTTAATACTCGGCGAATTAGACTCGGCGGTAAGA